GCCAATATTCCTGGATATAGTGTGATGATTTGCAGGTCCAGTTTTGAACAATCAGTTAGAAATAAAATAAATACATTGAAATAAAAGTCTGAATGCTGTCGGCACTGCATCTGCCCCTTTCTTTTCCTATCTTGTACCTGTCTGTACACACAAAGTGAAGCTCTTCAAATGCAAATATAAAAAGGTGAGACGTCAAAGTCTTTTTGTCACAGATTTTTTTTTTCCCAGGCTGACAGCTGTCGAGGGGCCACAGAGGAAAAATGGCAAGTATCTGTCACTCAGCTTCCAACGATATGGGGCTGCAGTAATAACCCTCTTACCCCACTTTATCTGCACCGGGAAATTTTCTGCCACAATGGAAATATATGGCAGCATAATTGGCTACCTGTTATATCTTTTAAAGTGGACAATTTACATATATATTTCATTCAGCTGACACAATAATTGAGACACATACCAGACCCACACTAGAGGAATACCAAAAAATAAAACCTTCATTTTTAAAATGATTAATGTTTTGTACAAAATATATGAAAAGCCCTGAGACAAGGGCAGAAAAATAATTTTATTCTGTAGAACTAAATGAAGACAACTTGTTGTTTAGAAGTGTGTTTGGACTTCAAGTCATTGCCATGCATTTAAATTTCATATTTAAATTTTTCCCCCCATTGCAGCCACTTTTCATAAGTGCATTCAGCAGAAAATTGGTTGGAATCTAGAATAAGGTTGTTATAATAGCCTCTCAGATAGATCATTAGGGTTTTGATGTAAAAATGCATTTCCTTGATTTATGAACAGAAAGGAAACTAATTTACCAAACATTTTTACTCCTTTTATTGCATTCAATGCGAAGGTAAAAAGTGCAATTTATCTTTTGAACCATCTCCCTAAAACTGTCTTGATTCCCATTTTAATTTAGTTAAACTTGGTTTTACTTGATTTACTGGCTTGGTTTTGTTTTTATGTATACAAGAACAATGAATTAACACATCTTATCTAACACCAGGCTGAAATGTTTATAACATGTTTATGAAATAAAAAAGAGCTTCTGTGTATTTAAAACCTGATTCAAGTCAAGCTCAGGTGGAATATGACAGTCAAACTGTGCAGTAATGAAATAAATCTAGCAGAGCCTTGTCTCCTCCCTGTTGTGAGACAGTTTGGTGTCTGGATGATTTAAGATTTGATGTTCTGTCCCGATTTCGAAGTCTTTGAGATTTTATCTGTGCTTAATATTCATGTAAACACAGAAAGCCAATGGTCAGACAAACATGGCTGTTCTTATTTTTATTTGGTATCAATACAAATATCCTTGTAGAACATATCTGGTATCTTAGAGTAAACATACAGGATACTTACCAGGTATGAGCTTTGTAATAACCTGGTACTTACGACCAGGTTTGTAGCTACTAAATAGTTGCCATTAATTAGGTATGTATCTGGTACCTACACAGACAGAACTGTAGTGACTTCCTATCCTTTATGTATACGGTACATACTTGGTACTAACCTGAGAGATGGTTGCTATTTTTTGGTTATGTACTTGGTAGGGACCAGGCTGTAATATGAATGGACTTTTTTTTTTACCCTGTACCCACAGAGCACAGACACTTGGCACATATCAGGTAAGGTACTTGTATGTACTTACTGGAGAAGAAATAATTTTATATTATATCTCTTTACGCCTTATGTATCAGATATGTTCATAGCAAGTAACAGTTAAATAGTCAAATTCCTGGTACATACCGGATAGATATCAGGTGTATGCAGATGAAGCATTCAGAAGCAATAAGAAGCAAATATCAAAAGGTTCTTCTCTCAACAGCCAAACTTGAACATAAAGTTAAGGGTTGTCAGAACAAACCATGTGACAGGATTTCTTAAGCTTACGAGTCGGTACCGGCACAGGCGACATTAATTTTCTGCCAGTCCTACTGGGAGCATCTTGAAGTGGATGTCAGAGTGAGATGGTGTAATCCTGATGAGAAATATAAACCATTGTATCACCCCATTTTAGAAGTCCCATTCTATCACACTCACGCACGTTCTCATAAACCCAGAGAAGTGCCAGCTCAGCAGGGGTTCGTTACACAAACACCCCTGAACTCCCTGCTGTGTCTTCTCAGTTGCTAATGCTGGTTATGCATTTTGGGAGGTGTGTGTGTGTGTGTGTGTAGCCTACAATAAAAAAGAGGGGAAGAAGAAAAGTGCATTAGCATACATGTACACCAGCTTGCATGTTAAAAAATGTTCATGTGTGCGCTTTTGTCTGGGTTGGCAGGAGACCTAGTTTTACAGATTTTGGGGGAAAAACTGCATCGTAAAACAACCTGAACAGACAGACTGAACTTGAGCAGGGAACTTGCAAGAACAAAACTAAAGGTAATTTTTTAGCATCAAGACACTCAGGTAGGACTTACTGCTATTGCAAATGAAAACAGGAAGTTACCTTTAAGTAATAGTATGAAGAAACACCATCCATCCATCCATCCATCCATTTTCTTCCGCCTATCCGGAGTCGGGTCGCGGGGGCAGCAGCTTCAGAAGGGAGGCCCAGACCTCCCTCTCCCCAGCCACTTCTTCCAGCTCCTCCGGGGGAACTCCAAGGCAGTCCCAGGCCAGCCGAGAGACATAGTCCCTCCAGCGTGTCCTGGGTCTTCCTCTGGGCCTCCTCAAGGTGGAACATGCCCGGAATACCTCACCAGGGAGGCATCCAGGAGGCATCCTTAACAGATGCCCGAGCCACCTCAACTGGCTCCTCTCGACGTGGAGGAGCAGCGGCTCTACTCTTGAGTCCCTCCCGGATGACCGAGCTTCTCACCCTATCCCTAAGGGAGAGCCCAGCCATCCTGCGGAGGAAACCCATTTCGGCCGCTTGTATCCGGGACCTCGTTCTTTCGGTCATGACCCAAAGCTCATGACCATAGATGAGGGTAGGAACGTAGATCGACCGGTAAATCGAGAGCTTCGCTTTTTGGCTCAGCTCTCTCTTCACCACGACGGACCGGTACAGCTCCCGCTTTACAGCAGATGAGCCAATCCGCCTGTCGATCTCCCGCTCCCTTCTTCCCCCATTCATGAACAAGATCCCCAGATACTTAAACTCCTCCACTTGAGACAGGGCGACCCCCCTGACCCGGAGAAGGCACTCTACCCTTTTCCGGCTCAAGACCATGGCCTCGGATTTGGAGGCACTGAGCCTCATCCCAGCCGCTTCGCACTCGGCCGCGAACCGCTCCAGCGAGAGCTGCAGATCACGTTCCGATGAAGCCAACAGGACCACATCATCCGCAAAAAGCAGAGATGCGATCCTAAGGCCACCAAAACGGATTCCCTCAACACCTCGGCTGCGCCTAGAAATTCTGTCCATGAAAGTAATGAACAGAATCGGTGACAAAGGGCAGCCTTGGCGGAGTCCAACTCTCACCGGAAACGAGCCCAACTTACTGCCGGCAATGCGGACCAGACTCTGACACCGGTCGTACAAGGACCTGACAGCCCGTATTAAAGGGCCCGGTACCCCATACTCCCGGAGAACCCCCCACAAGGCCCCGCTTGGGACACGGTCGAACGCCTTCTCCAAGTCCACAAAACACATGTAGACAGGTTGGGCGAACTCCCATGCACCCTCCAGGACCCTGCTGAGGGTGTAGAGCTGGTCCAGTGTTCCACGCCCAGGATGAAAACCACACTGCTCCTCCTGAATCCGAGGAAGAAACACTAAAAGTTAAAACTATGGGAAGTCTTCTCAGAAAAATTATTTCTCCCTATTTTCCTATTTAAAAAACAGTTAAAGGAAAACCCCCAACTCCACACCACTTACACTGATTGAACTGAATTGAATTGATGTTAATCCTTTTTTGCTATGTTAGAATTCTTTCTTTTTATGTATGTTGTTTGTTTTTTTTTTTGTTGTTTTTTTTTTGTTTTTTTGGGGGGTTTTTTGCACTGGTGTAATATAAGACTGCTGTTGTTAAATTGTCCTGAGAAAAATAAGCCATCAGAAGTACATCTTTTGAATTTCAGGGATTGTTCCTCTTCAATCGTTCCCTTCCGCCATGGCTCTTGAAATGAAGGGGGAAAAAAGCTGGAAGAAAACTCCCAAACATCTTATAAACAGCTGTTGATATTAAACAGATGTCGTTTCCTCCTGTTCTGCTGAGTCATCATGAGGATTTAGAGCTTATGAGCAATTTTCCAAATGACGCATGACAAATTGCATTTTCCCTTCTAAAATTAAATTTTTACATTTGTTTTTCATTTATTAAAAAAGGTTTTATTGAGTTTTAGCTGCAGGAATAGATTGAGAAAGATCTGACTCTGACCATGTGAGTGTTCAATCACACGTTGAGGTGTCCTTGTTGTATATATTTTCCAGAGTAAACGCCCTCCGTCATGGAAGAAGATGCTCAAATGCAGAGGACAGGATATTTGAGATTTTGTGGAATTAAGTGGAGATGGAGAGGAGGAGCAGGAGACGAAGAGTCGGCAGTAAAAGATTGGTCCATAAAAGCTGGGTCAGTTCTGACAGCTGCTGCATCGAGAGTTTATCTGATTAAATCTGACCATTCCTGTAGCGGGAGGGAGGGACCCAGATAAATGATGTCCCAAACACTCACGCTCATGTGCGCACACAACTTATCTTGAGCTGCTTTAACAAAACAGTGTGGGGAATAGCAGAGAACAAAAAAATGTGCCTAATATCAGGATTTATGCAACGAAACGTCAGGCACTACTTTCATCACCTCCATGCAGCATGAAGAGATTAATGCACCACACAGAACTCCACAATATCTTTTATCGAATAAATCCACATTTAGAGTCATTCAGGATCCAACTTTTTCCTTTTTTCTCTCCTACAGTGAGCATGTCGGCATTAGCACTGGATGCCATTAGTCAACACATTATTCTGCATGTTGCAGGTCCAAACTTTCACTGACGTGTTTGCACTTGCTGACTGGAACAGGAGCAGCACTCCCCTCTTGAGGACAGCAGCCATGCATGGAGTCAGACAGGTGAAACTCTAACCTACTTATCAGCTGTGGAGGATACAGCAGTCGAATAAACACCATTTGCTGTAAAAACAACACACTTATCAGACAGTTTGGAGTTTTAAATCAACTACATGTTGGAAATGCTCTCCTAGTGGTCAGCTGGGATCCAGGACTTCTCTTGGTGTTTGGTGGCACCAAGATTCTGCATAGGTTCTTTAGATTAGAGGTGCAAATCACCAGCTTTATTGGTTTGTTTGCATGATGATACAAAGTTTCTCTATCATAAAGTCTGTCATGATTCTGTAAGAATTATTCAATTAATTCCTCAGTTCAATGTTTATTTTACATCTAAAGACTCGCTCCATTTCACTCCGAGCCTGTCTGAGTCTAAACAAAATGGCTGTGATTCATGTGGTCACACCCTGTGGGGGTGTGGTCCCGCTTACGTCAGCACTGGAATAACAAAAACGTAAACAAATATTCTTATGGTGCGTTCACACCGAACGCGATTTCAGCGTCAGGAGCAGCAGGTTTACATGCAAAGTCTATGGTGGACGCGCTTCAAGCAACGTCAGGAAGTTCTGCGGCGCCTCAAGCGCGATTAGAGCAGCGCGATTTGAACGATTTGGACGATCTGAGCGTCGAACGCTCAGATCGTCCAAATCGTCCAAATCGCTGAAGTTGGGAAATCTGAACTTTTGCAGCTCGACGCGCAGCGTCAACCAATCAGAGAGACTCCACTGTGTGACGTAGCGACATATTTCCCGACGGGACAGTTTACTGAATGAGGTCCACTAACCTGAAACAGACGGAGCGGAGCTCTTTAGCTAAAATGAGTGCTGCAGTCGTGTCCTGATCCGCAGCAATGCGTGACAGCGACTCATCAGACTGAAAAAAATAGTCCTGAAAGCAGCTCTTCTCTGAATTATCTGGTGAATTAATTATGAATTAATTATCTGATGAACGTGACACGTTCTGGCTGTCTGTAAATTAAAGCAAAGCCACTTCCTCGTCCGACATTAAACGGAGCCCGACAGAGGAGGGAGGGGCGGGGCGGCTGTCGCCGTGCGGCGCTTCAACAACTGTCCTGCGTCTGACCTCAAAGTGCACAAGCTTCAGACTTCAGCGTTGGCTGCGATTTTGAAGCTGAAATCGCGTTCGGTGTGAACGCACCATTACACTGCTGAAGCAAGGCACATCGAGACATGTTGATTCTCTTATTGTTTAAAGTAAATCACCACAGTCGATCACAAAGTGTAAAATATAAGACTTGATCTAAAATTCAGTTAATCAAACACAAAATAGTCAACAATATGATTTTATTAAATTCACAAGTCTGCAATTGATATGATGTGATATGCCTTTCCGACACAATCGTTGTGTTGGATGGGCATATATCGATCCACATCGGGCATATGAAGACGATATGAATCCTTGTTTTCATTTTACCTTGATGTAATTGGATCAATATTCATGTGATCGGATACAACAGTGTGGATCAATGTATTGATACACCTCTGCTTGAGATGCTGTATTTTGCAGGTTGGATCCTTGGTGCACTTAGTTCCTGTGCAGGATTGCTTCATCAGCCTTGTACATGGGATCTGCTACGTACCAGGTTTTGTCTAAGTGTGAGTTTATCTGTCAGTTAGCAAAATATCTAATGAACCACTGGACACATTTAATTGAAACTTTCAGTAAGTAATCAATGGATGCATGTCTAAAACTGATTCACTTTTAAAGCCAACTAAAAGTAAACAGACAACAGACCTTAGTAAATATGCAAATGACAACTAGACATATGTTTTTACGCTGTAAAAACAAGTGTGCATTGCCATGTAGCATGGTTTTGCCTGCAGCAGTGGACTTGCAGAATGAACTGTGACCAAGTTCAAATGTGTTTCTATACAAGCCTGTGGTTGTCAAGTCAGCAGGTGTTTGTAATGAGAGTAATTGTGTGACAAGAAATTGTTTGTTCATAGCTGGAATTGAACCGTGATGTCCCACATGAAAGCCCATAGTTTTCACCATGAGACCATTGGAGCTGTGGCAGAAGGCATTGCCACGGGTTGGTTTGTATGTATGCAGAAAGAGGCCACATTGCCAATGCAATTGTTGATACGAAACTGCAATATATTACAGCAATAAAGCAATATTACGGCAATATTAACATAAAACATCAGCTATAAGTTGTGAAGGCACCAAAAGGCATAGCCATCATTTGGCACAGGAGCTTTACAGACATAAATGACAATGGCAGCTGTAGGGCCAAATATTCAGAAGGAGAAGCGTGTCAAAGTGGAGATGACTTGGATGGGAAACGAATCACAATAGTGTGCAATAAAGTTGTTTTTACAGATATTGACTTAAAACTTGTTTGACATTCTGCAATATCACCTGAAATTACATGTAATTTTAAAGGTGTGAAATGACTAACGTTCTCATCATAAAATAATCTTAACTTTAAAAATTGGTGTGAAAATCGGCAGGTGCTGTGCACTTTGAAGAATGCACCTTTAATTAGTATTTGATTTATTAGACAATATAAACCTCAACAGGGAACAGTTGGACAGTTTGGCTTCATATACTGTATGAACCTCAGAGCTGGGTGTAAATGAGTTTTATAAAGGATTTGAGAGGAAAAAAATACATTTCCAGAAGACCCTCATCACATGCTTTTTAATGTTAATATCAAATTGGTGACAACATTACTTTGTTTATTAAAAATACATAAAAATGTCTTGAAAGTATTAACCTGTATTAGCTTTATCAAGCCGCAGAATATTTTCTTACAGGCAGTTGAGCGTTGCTGCCACTGCTGCGGCCCAGACCCCAACATGAGCTGTAGCCGTGGGCAAGAAAACAAGAGTTCACAGCAATTATGTAAACCCAGAATCCTAATTTATATGACCTAATTTAATTCTGTTCACAATTTATTCAATTATTGGTGAACACAGACCCTGCCTCTGGTCCCCAAACGCCCCCTCCTCTTCATCCCTGTCATGACCAAAACTGGCACTAATCTCCCACCTTACGCCGCTGCTGCAGCTGACAGGCACATTTTCAGCTGTTTGGGGAATTAAACGGAAAAGCACGTTTCAGGAAGTAACTGTGGGTTTGGATCCAGCAGAACGTCGCGTTTGTGCTGCTGGAAGATTTTTCCACTCTATCAGCCACAATGATATCTCAGCCTGTCACCAGTCCCTCGCTCATCACCCCCGAATGAATCAATTTGACTGCAGCTCTGTTTCCGCTGTGCCCTGTGTGCTGGTTCACAAAAATATTAGGAATGCCCATTGGAGCGTTGAGCAGGTCTGTGTGTGCTGTGCAGGATGGCTCTTATTTAAGTGTATCACTGCACAATATTGATAGTTGCAAAGTGATGCAGCAAAAGGAAAACTAAAGGCAATAAGTGTTTATAACAAAGAAGTTACTACATTTTTATTTTATAAGATAGTTGCTGAGAAATCCCATAATCACACACACACAAACACTGAATTGAACTAATGCACTTGAAAATATTAATCTAAACACAATATGATGCAAAAGGTCATACAAAACAAGACTTTACATTCTTCCTCAGAACCTTTACATAACATTACCGTTTTTATGAAAACTGTGTGAGTTCAGCAAATTATTTCATCTGTATTTTAGTGTCACTTCTAATTTTTATTCTTACTTTGTGAACCACAAAAGGAGAAGTAAAAGATTTTTTAAAAATGTAATTTATCCATGGAGTAGTAGTGGCCATCTTGAACTAGACTGACTCCAAAAGTTAATCAGTAAGGGATGCGCAGGCAGTGATTGCATTCTGGGAGTTTCATTAAAATTTGTCCCCAGGTTCATGACACGTGTTGCTAACAGACAGACAAATGAGCACACACAGGCAATTACATGATCACATGATTACATGAAAATTAGCCCCAGATTGCTCCAGGTGTAAAAAAAAAAATAAGTACAAGTCATTTTTTGTGTTTGTGCGTGTGTGCGTGTGGGCACGCCCACCAGACAAGCAGCAGAAACCTTCCTTCCTGTCTGTCTCTCTTTCTCTCTCTTTCCCTGAGCCTTCCTGCTGAGTCAAGAAGGAACTCCTCGCCTGGTGAAAGATGAAAACAGCTCAAAATAGAGACTGTTTTATATCCTCTGTTCTGGTTACCAGCTCAAGAGAATGTAGCAACACACATACAAGAGTGCACATACTCCTGAGAACAGAGTTTCACTGAGGTCTTGTCACACAGAAGAAAAGATGCAAACGTCCTCATCCGCTGTTAGCAGATATACCAAAACAGTTTTTCTAAAAAGATATTCAGACATTTGTGTGTGTGCTGGTATCTTTAGCAAATAAGGAACGCGCACACACCTACAGCTTTTCTGTTTTTTTCCCCTTCAAACTTCTCAGTCTATCAGTAAATTAATTTGCCACGTTTCAAGTTTTTGATGTGCCCTCGAGCTTTGCTTCCAAATCTGCATCTCATTATATTCATAGGGCTATAATAAGATGAAGCAGAGAGATGTTCAGAAACACACCTGATATGGTTTGAGTGAAATAAATCCAGAGCACGCAAAGTAATCAGAAGATTTTAGTTTGAAACTCTGGCATGAAAAGCATCAGGTGATGTGCATTCCTTCAAGCAATGCTGCACCTTGTAAATTTTTCATATAAACAATGTTGAGGGTGCATTTATCAGTGGGGATGAATACAAATCTGAAACCTGAGCAACAGCAGAATGTCTGGTTCAGGGATCAGTTATCTAATGTACCACTGTACTATAAGGCTCCCCTTATAGATGGCTCATAAATAGTTTATAGATAGGTTATTAATTCATCTGTAAACACTTTATTACACTTTTTTTTTTTGTTGTTCTTGGATTTTATTGTATGGTTGATTTGCTTCTCTTGTCTTGGTTTTGTGGACCTTGAGTCTGTAATAAACTTTAATAAGTCTGATAAAATTAATAAATGTTTCTTATGCATTAATTACGCATGAGAAAGAGACAAAACTGTCTGGTTTCTTGACAAATGGTAAGCCAAATCTGTTAACATCTAAAGGTGCTGTATTAAACATTTCAGACCAGGTTTCAACCTTGTAAGCACAATAATGTATTGGAAACACACATTTTGCATATAAAATTGCAATGTAATACTGCATTATACATGTGTACAAT